CTGACTTGATTTCAAGTATGACATTTCCTTCTTGGTCTCATTTTATAAATAGAGAAACTGCCTAAAATGGTCATGTTCTTTATGGAGTTCCCAAAAGCATAAATCCAAGAAATGTTTATCTGAGAAAGACATCATGCTCTTACTGATTTCTATTTAATTCAGCACCTGTTTCTTTATTAGTTTTGGTTTTCATTTCAGCCCTATTTATCATTCACATTATAGGCCCTTCAGTCTTTTTAGTATTTAAAATATACTAAGATACACATGTACTTATTATACCAAAGAAACTATGTGTAGAGAATACTTTCTGATTTAGTGTAGGTGTTGGTGCTGTACGCATTGGTAATATATGTTGAAAAATTTTGACTTAATTGGTATGTGAAGATATTTGTTGAGTAAGAGGAGAACCATTGTTATAAAGCATCTAAATTATGAACATGGGTGTACTTTTCAGAATTTTAAATTAGTTTTGTATCTGCATTCTTACAGTGGTATGTGTGGTGGTGTGTTTGCTGGCAAAGCATGCAAAACCAGAATGTTAATATTTCAGCAGTTCAAGTTCATTCTTCTCTTCATAACAAAAATCAACAACTGGTTCAAAAGATTTTTTTTATTTTCCTGACTCATGATAAGGTTGTATTTTAGGTAAAACAATACTGATTGATTTAGCTTTGTGATATATTTAGCAAAATCTAAATCTTAGGCCCAGTGGCTCTGACCATAATCCTTTCTGGCTTCCCCTAGGTAGGAATGCTCTTTGGCCACATAGGGTTCTCATCTATGAGGATTATTGCACCCTGTTTTTACAAAGACACTCCCTGCCTCCAGTCACTAGCATTGTCTCTCTTACTCAATTTTCATGTGTCCTAGATACACTGCTTTGACTCTTTATCCTCATTCGTCAGTACTCTAAATTTCCACCCTTATACCTGAAGGCTCATACACCCTGGACATGCAACCTCAGCTGATGACCTAAAATCTCTCACAGTGCCTATTACACTCTGGTTCACATTTCCTCACGTCTTATGTACCCCTGTTTAGATGGTCGCCTTTTCTAACACCCTTCATTGCTTATGTCCCCACAGTTCTCCCAAGGGGCAAAGTGCTTAGAGAGCTCTTGTTCCATGTTCTTGCTGGTACTCCTAAAATTCTTTCTCTTACAAAAAGACATCTTAGATGATTAAGTAAAACCTCTTACTTTTTCTGACCTTCATCCATTTGTGGATACCAGTAACTACCTCCACTCTCATAATGCTGCGTGTCTATCTTTGTCATCTCATTTCCTGAATGTACTTGCCACTGATGAATTTAAATAGGCAGATGTACTGCTTCTTTGGTTTTACACTTGTTGGTTATTCCTCTCTGAAGCCCCCGGAACAGGGACTACATCTGTTTAATTCTTTGTGCATTGCCTAATACAGCCCACCATCACTACACACAGATGACTCCTAACTGCTTTCTGATAATAGGAAACAATGGCTTGATAAAGAAGACTGATAGATATTGAACATTTGGTGTTCGTATTGCACACATTTATACTGATGCAGATTGTGGAGAAAAAACTCTTGGCTTTGGGTTTTTAAAGCATTCTCTGTTTAAGGGAGAGCAGGTGGTAAAATTAATCTCATAAAAAGATAATTTAATGTTTTTCAAATTTGTTATTTTGTCTCTGTCAAGTCTAGAAAAGCATATTGAAAATCAAACAGAGCAAAAACAGTACTTCGATACATCAATCCAAAGAACAGTTGATTGTAGTAAATTAGGATTTGTCATAGAAATTTCATAATGCCTAAAGGACTGAAATACATAGAGAATGTAGCAAAAGCTGCAGTTGTAGATGTCTTTCTCATGCAAATTATTATCTGTGAAGTCTCAATAATACAGGCTTAAACAGAAATTGCTAGAGTGGTGTCCAGAATAAAATCTGACACTTCAACAGCAAACAGCATTGGCTGTTTATATTATAATGAATGTTAACATAATGACTGCTGTTCTAAGAACTTCTTAAAGGAAATACACTGAAGATTTGTTGTCTCATAATGGAGAACAGTTGCTGTGAGATAAGCTTATAGGAAGAAAATATGTTTAGAAACTTGAAATAGTCTTAAGAGGAAGAAAAGTTTATGTACCTTCTCATTTATATCATCAGATTTTCCTAAAGTTAAATTGTATAAGACAACTTGATATGAATTTTTATTTGAGCATAGGAATTCCAGTTTTCAGGTTTCTTTTTTCTTTTTTTAGAATTTCCCCAAAACAGTTTTTCCTTTTGAATTAAATACCCCTGCTTATATAATTTTAAACAAAAGTTACCAAATGTGATTTTAAACTACATTTTATTGTCTTATTCCCATTTCATGGTTAATTAAAAAAAAATTTAAGAGAGATTTTTGCTATAGTGCATGTGTGCTTGCCAAAGAGACAGACAGAGAGAGAGAGAGAATGTGAGAAATCACTTCCCAAGGGAGATGCCCATGCCACAATCCCTTCTCCATTCTCTTTCTGAGATTTTGGGCATGCATGCACATGCATCCAGCATGAGTTTCAAGCTTCCAGGTCCGGAACTCAAAACAGCCATGTAGGAGTCCAGTACTTTAACCACTATGCCAGTGCTGGCCCCCAAAATTATATTTTGGTTTTAAGACCACTTCCTACTAGTTAGTACTCTTTCTAAGCAAGAATTTGGGTTTGAGGAGAAATCTTTAGGAATTTTTAAAGGAACACTGCTTTTTATGAATTAAGAGCTTCTTAGCACCATCAGTTAGGTATATGACTAGACTTATGTTCCAAAAGAGTAGAACCTGATTCACAGGTGTGAATCAGGTTCTACTGAACATCAGGATGGAGGATGAAAAGTAGATTTTCTTTTCTCAGCATATGCTAGGGGTGTATTGAGAAATGTTAGTAGTTATTCATGGAGGTATTATAGGTTTGGGAGCATACTTGATAGCCTTTATAGTCTCTTCAGTGTCTATTTTAGGATTTTAAAGGAACTGAGAAAAAGCTGCAGTAAGTTGTTTAACTTTCTATAACCAAGTCGTTGGTAAACATTTGACAGAATCTTTTATGCACTAAAATATATTAACAGTCTTTGAAACAAATGTTCCAAGAGCAGACTTTGGAGAACTCTACTATCCAGTAAAAGCCATAGATTAACACCTTTTTCAAAACCCTAATTTATAGCAATTGTTGGGAAACTGACCCACCATCTGGATTTACATGTATCAGTAGTTCTGAATACCATTGGATCCAGAGTATCCCATGTGTTATAGATAACTAGATGTCTAGTGTGGTAGAAAGGGTGGGAAATAAGAAAAAAAAAAATTGAAGACCTCAGTTACCCTGATAAATAGATCATAAAATAACATTATTGATATTAATTTTTTATATTTTCTCAGGGAAATTTTCAAACATGCACCAAGAAGAGAAAAGAGAATGGTGACCATTTTACAAGCAACTTAAAATAATAGTTGACATGTTTCAAATAGTGGATGAAGTTTCATGAACAAGGAAACAAAATATTTTAATTGGACTATTTTTTAAATTAATTTCTTAAATGAGTCTAATTCATATAGGGGGGACTTTCTCCCTCAACAATATGGAGACATTTGTATGGAGACATTTGTAAAGTGTTAATTCAGCAGCAGACCAGATAACAAAATGATAAAAATGTTCTTATAGTTAAACCTCATAATAATACATATTATTTTTCTGATGTTTTACCAACATATTTCCACCCACAGATAAAAGATAATATTGATGTTGGTCAGATTAGCAGTACTGGCTTCATCTATGTTCATTTTGTTTTTTCTTTTCATCTGGCAATATTGTATATTCTTATTTTTCTGGATAAACTGATACCTCTGGAAAAAGGGCAAGGTACAAGAAAATTGTTTTGTTTTTCTGCCTAGTTGTTTTTCTGCCCAGTTTTCTTATTAGCTTCATCCTAAAACAGACTCCCTGATGGTCTGAGACCAAGATTTGGCTCGTCCCACTGGAAGAGAGTGTAGGATTATGTTGATTGGTTGGGCCAGTGGTGCTGTAGTATTGAATCATTTTTATCATATTTCATGGCCTGGAAATTTTTGCTTTAAGAAAGGGTAGGTAGATTGTACCAGCAGGTGGAGTAATGGTTACATCACTGGACTCCCACGTAATAACCACAATTCGAGTCCTGCACCCAGCAGCTTAAAACTCACACCTGGTGTGTGTGTGTATGTGCCCAAAATCCCAAGAGGAGAATGAAGGAAAAGGGATTGTGGTGTAGCCATCCCCCCTGGAGGCTGATTTCTCGCTTTCTGTCTCTCTGGTGAGCACACAAACCCTATAGTAAAAATCTCTTTTTAAAGAAAAAAATAGTAGTAGGGGTTCAGCCATGGTATGTATAGCTCTGCAGTGCCAGAAGCCATATGGAAAATTGGAGTTCAGTTCTTTGGTTGACCTGTACACATGATGCTGTGATCCTGGCTGCCTGAAAGAGGATCACACCATGAGGCCCTGTTGAAGGTGCTTTTATCTCTCTCTCTCTCTCTCTCTCTCTCTCTCTCTCTGTGTGTGTGTGTGTGTGTGTGTGTAGCTCTCTTTTGTGAATGAAATAAGTAACCTTTTTGTTGCTGAGGGCATGCTTTCTGGAAAGAAGACAGCTAGAGAGAGAGGGAAATTGAAAAGCACCTCCCAGAGGGGATGGTTGCACCATAATCCCTTCTCCATTCTCCTCTGAGGATTTTAGGTATGCACACATATGTGCCTGGAATGTTTTTAAAGCCACTGGGTCTGGGACTCCAACCACCTTAACCACTATGCCACGAGCTGGCCTAGAAATAACCTTTAAATGGGGAGGGGGGAGGAAATGGATACTGTAGAAAACACCAGTGATACTTGTTCACTTCAAGTAAAGCAAGTTTTAGGAATGCTATAACAAGTTATACTAGACATTTTTAATGTCTCTTCAGATGTTTATTTTGTAAATATATTGACCTTTTTTTCTTGGGTCTTTTTAGTGGACAAGAATTTTGGGCAGATTTGAACACCATGAATGTGTACGAAACAACAGAATTTGACCAACTGCGAAGACTGTCAACACCACACACTAGCAATGTCAACTCTGTTTACCACACAGTCTGGAAATTCTTCTGTAGGGACCACTTTGGATGGAGGGAGTATCCTGAGGTATTTACAAATTCTTTTGTTTAAAAATACATTACAAATTTTTTTCTATTTTTTTTAGTTTTTTTCTAACAGTGACTAGACAACTACAAATCATGATCAGAGCTTCTGAATATAAAAATAGTTTTATTGATAAAAGTAAATTTTTTCTCTCCATTTTTCTGAATATGAAATTCATACCACAATTATTAGAGAAATAAAACACTTCCCTCGGAAACTTGTAAAGATAAAGTACTTAGACCTGGTGCCACCTTTGGAATAATTTTTTTTTTTTTTTTTTGAGAGGTTTTTGCTATAGGGTTTGCATGGCCACCAGAGAGAGACAGAGAGATAGAAAGCGAGAAATCACCCCTCACGGGGGATGGCCACGCCACAGTCCCTTCTCCATTCTTCTCTCAGGATCATGGGCACGCACGCACATGCACCCAGCATGAGTTTAAGCCACCGGATCTGGGACTTGAACCATGGTCCAACTGCATGGAAGTCCAGCAACATAGCCATTAGGTCAACTGCTGCTCCCACCTTTGGAATAATTTTAATGAGTGAAACTGGTGTAATTTTTGTCTGTATCTGGCTCCTAGGTCATGGAGATTGGAGAATGTGTTATGCTTAGGTTCTGAAGCCTAATGGAGATAATCAGTCTCGGGTTCCTAGAAGAAGTACTTGAAGATATTTATTGAACTCTAGTCAGTCAAATCAGTTATTTAAAATGTTGTCATGTGTTTACATATATCCTTAGCCTGAGATAGTAAGACTAACTCATTAATCACAAAACAAGGTTTTTAAATGGTCATAGTTTACTTTGCCTTTCAAGGACAATCTGAGTCAAGTTTAAATATCTTGAAAAAGGACTTCAAAGATTAATTTTACATTCCAAAGATCTGACTTCTTCTTCAAATCAATAAAAGTTATTTCTAGCATTATAAAAAGAGAGAGCTGACTTATCTTATTCAGAATTTTCTCTTAAGACAATAGCAGAAGGAGACAATCTTCTATGCTAATGTTGTAAACCCAATATTGAACTAAAATTTCTGAAAAAAGTGATAACTAGTACCTACATTCCAAAGAAAGTAAGAGGCTATTTAAAATGTGTTCTCAGAATACTTGAATGATTTCTGTGTTTTTTCTCTGAGAGGTTTCTTAGGCTTAGAACTTAATTGGCTTGGGATAAGCAGTTGGAGTAATGGCTGTGTCACTGAACTCCCATGTAGTCGACCGCAGTTCGAGTCCCAGACCCGGCAGCTTAAACTCACACCAGGCACGTGTGTGTGCGTGCCCAAGATCTTGAGAGGAGAATGGAGGAGAAGGGATTGCGGCATGGCCATCCCCCCTGGGGGGGTGATTTCTCGTTTTTTCTCTCTCTTTCTGTCTCTGTCTTTCTGGCAAGCACACGTGCCCTATAACAAAAAGCCTCTCCAAAAAAAAAACTTAATTGACTTATTTGAACTTTATACATTACCGTTTTTAATTTCCCCTTTGAAAATTTCCTTAAGAAATATAAAACAAACAAACAAAAATCTCTAGGCTATCATTAAGACTTAGAATGGCATAGAGTATTTCCCTGGACCTCACATGTTTGATAAAATGAAAATCCATACTCTTTCAAACAGGGAGTGTCGTTCCACTCTGCATTTTTGAAAGAAAAAAATATCTTCTATATAAAGAGAATTAATTGGATGGCTGTACTTTATTGAAATTCCTGTTAACAAAGTTAACTACTTTTTCAAGTTACATTTTCATATTTCATAGTTATTTATTACCTTGATATTAAACTTGCCTTTTTTTCTTTACTGTCTGTTTTCTACTCCATAGTCTGTTGTTCGATTGATTGAAGAAGCCAACTCTCGGGGTCTGAAAGAGGTCCGTTTTATGATGTGGAACAACCACTACATACTCCCTAACTCATTCTTCAGGAGAGAAGTAAAAAGGAGACCCCTCTTCCGCTCATGTTTTATATTGCTTCCGTATTTACAGTAAGTGTCCAGTGGAAAGTCTCATCTTAATTCTCATTGTATGTAAATGTACTGCTGAATGCCAGAGAGACTGATTCTGAGTTAAGAGACCATGTTGGTTATTACCTCTAGAATGTAAAATTCTGAATTATCCTTTGGATCTAATTCTTCAATAAATGGAGTTTAGAAAAATTAACCTTACACTAAAAGAATATGTATCCTATTGCAGTTCTTGAACCAAAAGGCAAAGTAGGATTAACTTTTTCCCACACCTAAAGATTTTTCTGGAATGAGTCATACACTTTACATTTTGCCTCCTTCATGGAAGATTATTCTTCCTTCCATGAAGTACTACTAAGATGAGACCCTCTCATGTTACAGATTACTTCCTAGCCTATGTAAACTGCCAGAACAAGTGGGGAGAGTCCTAAAAAATTATGTTCTCCATTCTTCCTTGAATGAATTTGAATGAGAACAGTTTATCTCTTTTCAGATAATTTACGTTCTCATTTGCTAAGTAAGGCACTACTTATAATATTCAGTAAAATTATCTGTCAAATTTACAAAGAATACAGATTCTTTTTTTTCGAGAGAGATTTTTGCTATAGGGCATGTGTGCTCATTGGAGAGACCATGCTGCAATCCCTTCCCTTCATTCTCCTCTTGGGATTTTGGGCACACACACACATGTGCCCAGCATGAATTTTAAGCCACCAGGTAGTTTTAAGCCAACTGTGGTCAAATATGTGGGAGTCCAGTGACATGACCATTATGCCATCCACTGGGCCCCAGAGTCTGGATTTAAAAAAAAAAATTTATTTATTTAATTCCATTTGTTATTATATTTTAATTTGACCAGAGAGAGAGAAAAAAGGAAAAAGAAACTGCCAGGTCTGGGACTTGAACCATGGCCGGCCATGTGGGAATCTAGCACCTTTAGTCACTGTGCCACCTGCTGGTCCCAAGAATACAGATTCTTTGAAAAAAATGTTAGGACTGGTCTCACCCTTCTCAAATGTAGGTGAGATTTTCTTTTTTCTCAAGTGCCATTTCTTCCTTCACTCTCTGGGTAACCCACTGACACATCTTCATAGATGCTGAAAGATGGAGCATGTTGCCATGACCATGGCCATCTTTGATTGAAAGTTAACATCTCTAGGGAAATCATGCTCTAGTCAGATATACAGTCATGCACCGCATAATGACATTTCACATGTACAAGGATAGCCTCATTCGATTTTAACAGGCCATTCCATATAGCCTCAGGTTTGGTAAGTACTGTCTGTGATAGTCACACAATGACAGTATTGCCTAAAATACATTTCTTAGAATATATTCCCATTGATAAGCAGCGTATGACTGTACTTCTTTAGAGCCTGATTTTGAAAATTATACTGGATTTTCTAGGTTTTTATGAAATTGGGAAGTCTAGAATAATATTAGTTGGTTTTTGAGGTAAAGATGCTTGTTTTTCTATTCTCCCTGTTTTAATTTTAATCTCAATCTGTTTTCCTTAAGTTGTTATGATATAACCTTAATGATTCTAATCCTGGGATTGTAAGAACATTAAAAACAAAATACAAGCAAATAAAAGGTCTTGAAATGGTCAGTATCCAAAAGAAATTGTAATAAAGCCAATTTTAGATATATATTGGCTTGGGTCAAGTGTGTGCTTTCTTCTAAGCCCAAGTGTGAAAAATTTTACCTTGTAGAGCTTTTTTTTTTTTTTTATTAGAACTAATAAAAATGCCATTTCTGTGATTTCACTAGCACAGCTGGAGACAGTGTCAGTGTCCAGTAGTTAGGAACATATTGTCCTCCTGGTGAGACAGTAGAACTCATTAGTGAGACCAGCAGCTTGGCATGCTGAGCCAATCAAGCAAGATGTAGCTTCTGTGTGAGGGTTAGATTGCTCATTCAAGTCTATTGTTGGGGAAGTTTTAATGAATAGTGAGAATCAGTTTATTTCATTCTTAAGATAAGTAATTATGGAGTATCCTCTCCACAATTTTTTTCTTTTTAAACATGGACTTGTTTTTATAAAGGTATGAACTATAACAATCATACAAGCACTAGTAGAATCAATGTTACCAATATGGCCTTTGGTCTATTTATAATATGGACTTAGAATAAATAAAGTTACTCTACTCTACTCTTACTTTTTCTTTTAAAATTTTTCTATTTTAGTCCTCCTGTCTGAAATAATGATAATCATGTATAAATTAATAGGTCCTACAGATTAAAGAGATCATGAAGACACTTAAGGAGAATAGAGCAGAGGAATAGCAAGTCCACCAGGGTAGGATGGGTAAAGCAGCAATTCTGTCTGCCCTGGAATATGGGCTAAGAGAGACAGGACTGGCCTAGAGGTGAGAAAGAGGAGGGGGTTGGTTCCAAAATTTTAGAAGTAGATTTCAGAGACCATTATTTAGCCAGTAATAAGTATAATGTTAAGTGTTATCAAATGCAAACCACAAAGAAAAACATGGGTGTCAAAGGCCACAGAGATGGTATCAGAGATATTTAAGAACTAAGAATGCTAGTGTGGGTGGGGTGAGGCTGACTTAATTCATAAATTTCCTGCGAATTCAGTTGTTTTTAAAAGGTTTTCCCTGTTGCTTTTAATGGAGCAAAAACAAGCGTACTCTTTCATATTCTAGAGTACTTGAACTAAGGTTACATAAGCAAAGAAATGTCAGATTTAGGGGCTGAGGGGGCTCCTTTCTTTAAGCTGAAAGGGCATCTGTCCCATACAGTCACTTCATTGGTTATGAGAAAGCCCGGCATGGTTTCCTTGACTCCTCCCCGAAAAGAATAAAATGAATTGATTTTTATTTCATCACTGAAGATGGGTTAAGAAACATCTTTCGAAATAGTGAGGGGAGGGAAGGAGAAAATAAAATGTGACCTTGGATTCTGAAAATTTATTCTTCAGAGGCCATTGAATATAAGCTCGATAGCCCTTGATTTTTGCCTCTCTAGAGAAGGCTGAGCCAGCACAGTGAAGCGTGCAGTATGTCATTGGAACACCCAGGAACTAAATACAAACTCAGCATTCTCAGAACATAAGGGCACATTTTAAACTGTGCTTTGAATATAGTATATTTTTAACCCATAGCAACTAGAGTATAGAAGTCTTATCAGACAGATGTCTATATGCATTTTTATGTTCTAGTCCAATTAGGATGTTGGCTTGTTAAAAGTAAGCAGCCATGGATAGGAATGGATGCTGCTATCCATATGTATATAATCTAATTTAATATCTTAGAATGGATAGGATTTATTTACCAAGGCTCAACTTCGTGGATGTGTGAGTAAATAGACCTGCATTTCCCTCCTCAAAAAGAAAGGATATATTTAAACTTTCAGTTTACGGGACTGGTTCTTAGATAGGAATGGTATCAAGAAGGAAAGAAATAGTCTCTTGTCAGTGCTAGGTTTTCAATCCAGGCTGACAAAATCCAAAACCTATTTTTGGGGGAGAATCTTGTCTCTCTCCTACTCCAAAACCTTCGTTGGGAACTCTAATGGCTGGCAGTAATGGAAAATTTGGTGGGCTGAACAAGGACAGAGGGACAGACTAAAAATAAGAGGCTTATGTTCTGTATTTGCTACCATATTTCCAGAATAGTGATGACTTCTTAAGGAGTTACAGATCTTTGGGAATCTGATTACTGCAGTGGGGCCTCTTTTTTTTTTCCTTCCAGAAAAATGTACTAGTGAAAAATGTACCATTGTAACAGGAAAATGTTCCAGTACTGAGGCTCTAAAGGAATCTATCATGGCTCTGAGAAAATGCCTCAGAGCACAAGGGTAGAGAAACCTGCTCTACTTTAAGTCTGCCCCTTAACTTAAAAGCACTTGGGGATTCAGTGAATCAACCCATCCAAGAGTGTCTCACAAAGGGACTTCGAGGCACATATGTTCTGATGCTATACAGTGATCGAATATGAAAATAATAAGAGAGATATTTTGAAAAAATAAAACTAAGCCTGCCCTAAAAAATAAATAAACAAAGTGAAAGCACTTAAAGGAGGCTAGAGATAGAGAAAACAGTTGTGGCTCCATAGCTTTTAACATCTTATCAAGTCATTCATTAAAAGTAAGATTATGTGACATAACAGTGGTAGTGATGAGAGTCAGCAAACCTAGGTTGGAATCCTAGCATCCCATCAATCACTTTCTAGCTGTGTTTAAAAAGAAAAAAAGAAAAGTATAAATAATGAAATATGGAAATGGAAAGAGTATGGTTTAGAAACTAGTTGAGCCTGAATTCAAATCCTATCTCTGCTCTTTATTACCTATACTAAAAGCAAATTATTTAATCTCTCTAAAGCTCAGTTTTGTTTGTTTTTAAGGAAATGGGGATAACTATTTACAGCATGTGTGTGACAATTAGTGAGAATGTGTGTAAAATGCCTGGTCCATAGTGTGTAACTATGATTATGGTGAGTGTGATTGTAAGATACGCTCTTTGGTGATTAGATGCATATTTACACAGTTGTAACCTCTGTGTCACAAAGCTCTTTTGAAAATTTCAGTTTCCTAATCCATTTTGGCAGGCATTATTGCTTCCTTGTGACCACTATGTGCTGATGAGTGTTACAGTACCATGGCCCTGAAACCAGGTCTCAGGGTCAGAATTTCCTTAATCTCTGCTGCTTCCCTTTTTCTCTGTTTTGAAAACTACCAAGAAATATGATTTAAATTTAAGCAATTAGTCAGGAATAAGTAGTTCATCAAGGCTACTGCTTTGATAGTTTATCTAAATTCATCCTTCAAAGTAACAGACCTGAACTTAAAAGTTTAAGTATATACATCCTGGGGGCTGGCAGGTGACATAGTGGTTAAGGGCACCAGACTCCCACATGGCTGATTGTGGTTCAACTCCTGGACCTGGCGGCTTGCTTTCTCACTTTCTGTCTGTCTGTCTGTCTCTGTTTCTCTCTGTTCAAATTAAAATAAAGTTAAATAATTCTTAGTGAAAAAAGAATATACATCCTGGAGTCCATAGTTGATAGTAATTAGCTCTATATTAAGCACACCAAAGCTTTACAATTTGAATAGTATTGGTGGATTTGTTTTTAGATATGATCTTGGAAAAGTAAGCAAATATCAAATGTTAGTTAGCATTCAATGCCTGCTTCATGATTTTTGTTTTCATACAAAATTAAAGTAAGCTTTTTCATTTTTCCAAAGGCCCTTCATTGCCTGCCCTCCTTTGTCTCCCACTCCACATAGACTTAAGTGATACCTCTTTTTGCTTAGTATTAGCAAAGTTGAAGAAAAATATAAATTATCATTGCTCCCTTGAAACAGTTTCTTTAACTATATAGGCAAAAGAGGAGTCTACGATTCTAAAGTAAAGCTATTTATAAATTGGCTTTTACATGTTTGCCTTGCAGCAATACATTCCAGAGTTTTCTCTACGGGCAAGTAAACAGGAGGAAGCTAATAATAGGTTATCTATGTACAGGCAGTGTTTGCACTAAGATTTTTTAATAGCATTTTTTATTTTATAAGTAAGCACTTCAGCTATATAAATTATAATATTAGGCACTGCTGTAGAGCACTATACTGGGAGATGTACTTATTCTGAGTGTTTTATACTGAACTCCTTCCTTGTCATTATAGGACACTCGGTGGGGTTCCCACACAGGCTCCTCCACCTCTTGAAGCAACTTCATCATCACAGATCATCTGCCCAGATGGGGTCACCTCGGCAAACTTTTATCCTGAAACTTGGGTTTATATGCATCCATCTCAGGACTTCATTCAAGTGCCTGTTTCTGCAGAGGACAAAAGTTACCGGATCATTTATAATCTTTTTCATAAGACTGTGCCTGAGTTCAAATATAGAATTTTGCAGATATTGCGAGTCCAAAACCAGTTTCTTTGGGAGAAATATAAAAGGTGAGTCAAAGATATGAAATATTGGGAACCAGCAGTTAGCGTAATGGCTATGTTGCTGGACTCCCACGTAGTCGACCACGGTTCGCGTCCCGGACCCGGTGGCTTAAAACTCACGCCGGGCACGTGTGCATGAGTGACCAAGATCTCGAGAGGAGAATGGAGGAGAAGGGATTGTGGCATGACCATCCCCCCTGGGGGGTGATTTCTCGCTTTCTGTCTCTATGTCTCTGTCTGGCGAGCGCACCCGCTCTATAGCGAAAAAAAAAAAAAAAACTCAAAAAAAAAAAAAAAGATATAAAATATTCAAGTAGGAGTTTTTCTTAATGGACCTATAATGTCAAATGTGGAACTTATAGTAAACACTGGAATCAAATTTAATATGGTCATATTTTTTGATCTGTTAGCTCACATTTAATCCTCTTACTATGAATAGGACATTTACGTTTTACAAAGGACACTGAGTCACAGAAAAGTCTGGTAATTTGCCAAAGGTCATGTAGCAAATAAGACGTAGTGCTAAAATTTGAACCCAGGCAATTTAGCACCAGAGTCCTTGCTCTTATTCACCCTATTATGTTGCCTTTCATATCAATAAACGAATTAATGTAGTACAAAGGGGATAATATGCGCAGATTTAAGGAATCTCCCAATTAAAAGAAGCTTAAGTTTGAAGGAATTAGATGAGGACATCCTGAGAAAGGTGAGATAGGATATTTCATTTTAAACTAGATTTAAAATGAAAGAGAAGCCCTGTTTTGGTGATACAGGTGGAAGCATACTGAACTGCAGTGCTAGAACCCACATGGCCAGCCAACTGTGGGTTCAGGTCCTGAGTCAGCCTGCAACTGCTCATCTAAGATCTTGATGAGCAGAGTGCTGAGAGAAGGGGATCATGGTATGATTAGACTCTGTCTAGGGTGACTATTTCAGCCTCTTTCTGTCATGGGAGAAATAAATAAACTTTAAAATGGAAGAGGAACCCAGTGAATGATTGTAGAGAAAGAAGGAATAGGGTTTTTATGCAGTGGGAAAGACAAGTTGAAACTTGCAGTATGATCTTTGATGGCATTTTGCTCTTGATAGCTCCTTTAATATTTCTTCTCCACTGAAACTACAAAGAGAAGTTTGGCTATATCATGTCTATTAAATTGATCTATATTTCCTTCTGAATTCCTTATTTACTCTTTACATTAGGAAAAAGGAATACATGAACAGGAAAATGTTTGGCCGTGACAGAATAATAAACGAGAGACATTTATTTCATGGAACATCCCAGGACGTGGTAGATGGAATCTGCAAGCACAACTTTGACCCTCGAGTCTGTGGAAAGCATGCTACAATGTTTGGACAAGGCAGTTATTTTGCAAAAAAGGCAAGCTACTCTCATAACTTTTCTAAGAAGTCCTCCAAAGGAGTCCATTTCATGTTTCTGGCCAAAGTGCTGACCGGCAGATACACAATGGGCAGTCATGGCATGAGAAGGCCCCCTCCTGTCAATCCTGGCAGTGTCACCAGTGACCTGTTTGACTCTTGTGTGGATAATTGCTTTGAGCCTCAGATTTTTGTGATTTTTAATGATGACCAGAGCTACCCTTATTTTGTTATCCAGTATGAAGAAGTCAGTAACACTGTTTCCATTTGAAAAATATTGGTACTGCTAAATTATTTGATATGAACTCAATCCAGCATTTGTAGCAGGTTTCAAATGGGTGGGACTGGGTAGGGAACAGCATTGGACATTAATAGGGCACTTTTCAGACCCATTTTTTTTTTAAATACTAGAAAGTGTAATTTTTTTTTTAAAGAAAAATACATGTTTTTAAATGACCACTTATTCTTTAATTATTTACTAATTGTTGTTAGTGTACTCAGTGTGAGAAAAATAGATTACATGCTCTTTTCATTCACACTTGTACATATAGGCAGCAATATTATTAGAAACATTTTTTTAAAAAACTGAACAGCCTAACTCAGTATGGCTTGGGCCTTATAGAAATTTGGCCAAATGAAATGGAGGCTGTGAACAAAATAAAGATTATATTTATTTATTTACATTGGTAAAACTGACTGGAATTGGTACTACCATGCCTATTCTCTGCCCAAAGCATCACTGTTTTGGGCATAGTATAAGTTTAATGTGGTGGGCGGAAAGAAATTTTTATTTCTATCAGCAGGACTAGAGAGCATCAATGACTTTAACTGTTCTGCAGAGTATGACTGAGGATTTAGAGTTCTGTTTAGAGGAAGTGAAGAAAAAAAGGAACCATATAAAAATTTTTTGTCACCAGCAGAATTTTTCACCAACTAGTTACATGAAGTATGATTCTGATATTCTTAAATTTCAGCCTTGAAAAACAGTCTCTTCCATTGTCATCCAACCCAATTTGAAGGAATTAGGTAGCTAATTTGGTTAAAGCCAAGTCTTTAATATTTACAAGTATTACCTAATTTGGGGATTGCATACCTAGCCCCTGACTGAAGATTTTAGAGAAATAAAGTACATCTATAGCTGAGTCGTTAAAGTTCATTACTATGCTTTACGCAAAATAGATTCTCCAAAGTATTTGTTGAGTTGGAATTATTAAAGGCGGTAATTCCACCCCTACACCTCCTTTGTCAGATGCAGTTAGGTTCCCTGGCTGGCTCTGTACCTTACACTACTTAATAGAAACACAACTTGGAAATTGTGCCACTGGCCTAGCTGGAGTACGGTTAGGTAAATACGATTTTGCCTCAGATCAGAGAGGTAGCAGCTAGGTATATGTACTTCGCCGTAAGCAAAGCAAATACCTGGATTTACAAAAGTGGAAGTGGTTCACGGAAGAATTCATCACAGAATTCCTTCAGATATGAAGCTCTCCTAATATGTTTATGGTTACTTCATTTACATAAAGCTTTTCAGGAACTTCTGTGTTATTTAAAGCAAGATATATCTATACTGGTGTCTCAGTGAATCAGTCTGTTTCAGCACTTATCAGGGCTTCCACAGTTATTTATTTTGCCCTAGTCAATCCTGTTGTTTGCTGCCATTGGTATGAAACGGCCAACCGTGGCTGTTACAATTCTTTCATTGAATTATAACTTGTAAACCAGTGATTCCCAATCTTTTTCAAGTTAAGACACCTTACCATTGCTTATTTGATTTTATGAAACTTGTTCCTCTTTTCTCCCCTAAAGAAAAAGCTTTATGACATATTTATTTTTTTAATAAAACTAAGCAAAAATAAAAGTTATAGTAATTCTTTAACACTTCTGTTGTTTTGCTTCCATGTAAGATAACTGAATTTAACAAAGTTGATCTATAAATGTTGGTTGGTTGGTTGATTGTGTGATTGAATGACTGAAACAACAGGCCTAACCAGAATATGCTAAACTCTTCTGTTCTGGGGTTTCACAGAAAGCATGTAATCAGTAGTCAACTACAAATCACAAAAGAAGGTTGAATGTATTTGTATTTGGAGGAACAGGCAGGTTTTGTATCAGCAGAGATAGTACAGAGAAACAGTTGAGTAGGTTGTCATCTTCAAGGGATGTGAGAGAAATGCAAAAAAAAATTTAGAGGCTAGAGATGGTGCAGCAATAAGACACAGTGCTCTGGACACAGTCCCACATGGGAAGATTACCAGTTCAAGTCCAGAAACCTCCGTGAGTATTCTGCACACACATGCTCATGATCTGGGCTTGCTGAAGCTAGGGATGGGTCACTGCATTAGGTCTCTGCCTGGGGTTCTTTTTATGTGTCTGGCTCAGGGAAGGAATACATATACAAACTTTTTAAAAAGAGATTGTAGAACTCTTGTCAGCTCTCAAGCCCCTTATATTTCAGCCAACTAAAAGTCCTCTGGCTGATGTACATCTGAGTATCATTAACAGTATTTCTGTCCCAATATAATGATTCTTAAATCCCTTAATAGTATGTTGTCTTAACTAAGCAGTAACTATGGAGTCAGTCTAAATTTTGCAATGGTTCCATGGATTTAAAAAATACTCAAAAACATTAAGTAACTTTCTTCCTACTAGCACAGTTGTAATTTAAAACACTTCAGAAAGCTGAAATTTACTCATTTCAACTATGGTTAAGATTTTCAGGAAAAGATAGCCTATAAACTCCCGAGGTATCCCATTGTCATATAATTATATAGACAGGGAAGATTATTTTATGTGTGCAAAATTTATAAATGTTTGATCCCGTGGAATTATTAATCTAATGGCCAACTATATGCCTTTTATTATACATCTTGTTTGTTTTCATAAATGATTATTTAGTTACAATTATTAGAACCTTTAAAGAGGAATTTTTATTATACAAGGCCTAAAAGTGCCTAAGTAAAACTACCAGCAGCTGATGTAATGGCTATGTCCCTAGACTTCCATGTAGTCGACTATGGTTCGTGTCCCAGACCTGGTGGCTTAAAGTCACACCTGGCACGTGTACATGTGTGCCCAAGATCTCAAGAAGGGGAATGGAGGAGAAGGGACTGCGGTGTGACCATCACCCCTGGGGGTTGATTTCTCACTTTCTGTCTCTGTCTTTCTGGCCAGCGCACGTGCCTTATAGCAAAAGCCTCTCTGAAAAACAATATATACTCAATACACAATATTGTAACTATGTTTAATGACTATTTTCTTAATTGGAAATGTTTTTTGGTCATTGGCAGTGTTTTTCCAATTAAAAAAAAAAAAAAAAAACATTGCCAATGACCAAAAAGTACATTTTAGAAAATTTGGTATGACACTTCCAGAATTCTAAGCCACACCATTTATAGTCTATGTTGTTATTACTTAAACGTTTTTTAAAAGTAACTTAAGTTCTTTTATAACTATATTGTAATCTTGGACAAATTACTTACCCTTTTATATGATTTCTCATCTTTGAAATACTTTTTTTAAAGTCTACAAATAAGAGTGTTTCAATTTTGAAGTCCCATGGTGCAAAAAAAAAAAAAAAAGTTTGAAAGCACTATTTATTTACAAATTAAACGCCAGATATACTTTCCTTAGAAAAAAATAGTGTTGGGCTTTAAAAACAAACTCATCTAGTTTGTTGATTTAAATACTCCCATTGTAGGCAAGTTAAAGAAGTGAAACAGTTCTTTTTATCTCTAAAAGAACTAAAGATTAGCACTCTAAAGAAGAGTGCTAATCTTACTCCTGAGCTATCATCATAGAAAGAAAAGGATGCTATTGAAAGATTTTATCAGCATTCTTAGTTTCTCTTGTTTTATTGCTTAAACTTTACTCATATCTTTAGGAGACTTAACTCCTAAATAGAATTGTCAAATGGCAGCTCTTTTGAAGCTTTAATCTTGCGTGAATGGAAGTGTTTGTGTGCTAGAAGTGTTTCATGAACATGTGCTAAATTCTTCAAACTAGAGGAGCAGTGCCCAGCCATTTTAAGTTTCAGAGTTTCATGGCCTCATGGTAGTACTCTATTGTACCAAATTCTCCATCAAAGGAGAATGACCAAAACAAACTTTTAAAAACAAGCTTGCATTATTCAATCACATGTATCTATTGTACATTAGCTATACGGGATATACTTAGTCTACTCTGGGCTAAGTGCATTAATGGGCTTCTTATGATAACCCCCCTGTGCTCCTGGAGTTCACAGTTAAGAGGCTGGGAATTACTGAGCTAGCCCATTTCAGCATTCAGCTTTAAATAATTTCCTTTGTACCTAGGTGTACCTTAATTATATGTCATCTTAAAACAGTCTTAAATCAGACAGCTAACAGGCTCAACCCAGTGTTCAAAAGCCACTAATTCTAATGCTTAGCAACTTTTAGGTGCCAGATTGTCATTTGGTGGGCCTTGTGTTGTGTTAGATACATCAGAGCTGCCCTTGGCAGTGTTTCACATTACAGTAAGGACTGCATTTAACAGACTGAGTGGCAAGAGTACACTGAGCAGGCACTACTCAACTACACAATGTGTTACTCTTCAATACCAGTAGGGAATGCTTTTGCACCCATTAGTTTATAAATTGTTTTTGAGCAGCAGTATGGATTTGGGGCATCAACCCACACTTTTCTGATAAAGGTCTCACCTGAAGACTAGGCATTTTGTAAAACATCGGGCTTAAGTCACAGTTTATAAACTGGATGCAATTAACTGTTCATTTAGGGGTAACAACCATTAGTTTTAATAGACATCCATTAGACCTCAATAATAAGAGTGTTTAAGCTAATTGAACTCAATATATAAACTTTAGTTCCAACCACTTGCAAACGTAGCTGAATTTTTTCAAAATGCAAATTTCTACCCATGCAGCTATAGATTTATGACTAAATTTTCTAAAACTACAAGTATGCAGTCTTATAATTAACTTATAGCATATGTAAGTCAGTGCCAGGTGAGTTGAAAGGCAGACTTTGTGAATAATTGTTCCTCAATCTGGTGAAAAATTACTGTATTTACTTCTCATAAACCAGTGGTTTAGTCACAAGCCTGTCAGAGAAACTTGACACAGTTTCAGTGTGTGGCTGTGGACTAAATTAAATAAAGAATGTAAAGCAGTTAGCACATTGTCTGGCCTTTGGTATACCATCACATTTTAGCCAGTAGTAATAGTAGCAGGAGTAGGAAACGGAGCAGTAGGCTGAGTAGCGGCCCCTGAAGATAAGATGTTCAAGTCCTGATCTCAGGAACCTGCCCATATGTTGACTTGTATGCAAAAAAGACTTTCCATATATTGGTTAGATTAATGATCACAAGACAGGGAGATGATTGTGGGTTATCCTAGTGGACCTAATACAATCACAAGGGTCCTTATAAGAAACAGGTCAGGGAGAGATTAGAAGATGCTGGCTTCGAAGATGGAGGTTGAGGCCATGAGCCCTAAAATCCAAGTGGCCTCTAGGGGCTAGAGGAGCTAAGGAGACAATTCTGCTCTAGACCTTTCAGAAATAACACAACTCTGCCAACCCCTTGGAGGACTACCACCTCCAGAGTAAAGCAAATACATTTGTGTTGTTTTTAAGTCACTAAATCTATGGTCATTTATAACAGCAGCAATAAAAAACTAATATAAGTAGTAAAATTGATAGTAATTGGAGAATCATAAGGGGACTATTCTAATACAAATAAATAATTAGGAATTGCACTACAAATGCAAAAAAATAAAACAATGCTTGTTGAAACTTTAAAAGGTTATTTGAAGTTTTAGCTTATCCAGTGCTGAGAGAGTTACATAATGCATGCTAAAGACTAACCTCACTTAAAATAAGCTTTCCTCAAAGGAGTATTTAAATACTGAATAACAGCAAGCACTACAGTTAGTCAGATAGCCCAGTTCATTCTCTCTCTCTCTAACGGTGAGGAAGAAGGCAGATTGCTTTAGAAAATTGGTTGGTGAAAAAGATATAGGCTGGGAAATTTTAGCATTGAGATTGTCTTACCAGTGGATGTACTTTGCAGATTCAAGCCTCTTTGGGTCTTTTTGTTCCTTCTTAGGAGTTCCAGGCTATTTAGAAAAACATTTGCTGACTAGCTTCTAGAACCCTGGGAATTCCTTGAAAGGGCATTGTGCTCCTGGATGTATATCATTTTCTTAAGCTTAGCAAGGTACTGGTTTCTTCAGCCCATTATTGTTAAAGAGTTTTGTCTTTTGAGAGAACTGCTTAAGGTCTCAAACCTCATTAAGAATGACTCCAGCCCTAACCAGTTTCTCATTGTTCATAATTAAGAACTTCTTACCAGAATACCTCATTTGGAGCTCTGCTTTGAAGAATGGGTATCTATTTAGCTTGGTTTTCTGTGGTACCTGCCTTGAGTCTTGTGGTGATCAGATTGTTCTTATAAAGATACATAAAAATGGTTTAGGTTAATACAATGAATTATCATAACAGAAATCCAGAACAGATTATTCCAAAATTTTTTATTCAGCAGTTACAGCTTTTTCAAGGATTCTGTTCGATTCTTTTAGCTATTTCCTTGTGATCTGATCCCAGATATCACATCTCACTTGCAATATAAAAATGTAGGAAGGAATGGTCCATACATAGTGCCTTTTATTATAAAATATTTTAAAGTTTGGTTTTTCTCTTCGAGTCTTTCTGTATTGTCCAGGCCGAACTCAAACTCATTGCTCCTCCCGCCTCAGCCTCCCCAAGTTGCTGGGATTGCAAGCATATGCCTCCACATCCAGCCTTTAGGTTGGCCCAGGAATTGAACCTAGATCTCCTATGTGGTCTCAGCCTGCA